TCATATACTTTATTCGACTAAACTAGTCAAACAATATATATATATTGTCTTTATGAATATTTGACCTTGAGGGTAAAGTAGTATGTGAATGTACAGACAGTTATTTGCATATAAAGTCTGTATGACATAGTTTTCTTATCGAAACTTAGTCAGGTAGATTATAGATCTACATTTTTATATGCAAGTGCCGAACTAATAAAAAAAGTGAAAATTGTTTGGTCTTGCTATTCAGTCATCTAAATCAACTAAATGTTTTAATTTTAATTTCAATTATTATTATATTACAATACGTTTGTTTACAAAGTCAAAGATAAACGTCAAGCGACATCTCAGAAGCAACACTGTGTATGCAGTTCTCAGTCAAATCTATCATCTGCTTAGATACTTTTCTTGCGATTTTATTTGAGGTCAGAATTGAATTTTTCTTTAATAGGTTGATGGGTAGTGTGCGATTTCCTAAAAATTTGATTTAATTTTGAATGATTGATTAAGTATCTTAGTGTACATTGTAATTGTATTTATTTATTTTAAATGGAATTATAAGTGTTATTATAAATATAAAGCATAGCAAAAGCAAAACCAGCCTAAAAAATTGCTTTACAAAGATTTTCTACATTTATTAAACATCATTATGGAACAAGAACAATAGTTAGGTAAATGCTTAATCTTTAAGTTAAAAGGAGAGCCGTGCCCGCATTCTAGATGTACAATAAGTTAGGATCATATTAGAGATTGCTTAAGAGGTTAGGCTTTGAAGGATCGAAATTTTATTACAAAATATTTTAATAGGTAAAGAATATTTTAAACCGTAGATATAAATAGTATACCTACTAGCCGCAAACGAGTTTGTTTTAAGCGATCAATAATTATAATAATAATAATAAGCCCTTTATTCTGAATTAGTACATACAATATTAAACAGTTTAGAAGTTAAGTTTATAAAATATCTCATAATTCAGAGTGCCTCTTGGCATAGGCCTCCTCTAGAACTTTCCATTGGGTTCTGTCTCGCGCTACCCTTCTCCAGTGATGTCCAGCTGTTGGCCTCAGGTCATTTAAGCGATCAACTAATGCCTAAATTAGTTCACCTCGGATACCTATCATTCTAAAAAAGTAGATACACCTTATATTGCCGAACAAACGACAGCTACTGTTTATTAATTGAGATGTGACAGACTTAATACGTGTGCAATAATAACTGGACCACATTAGCTTACTGCTAGATCTACAAACTCCCTGAATCTTGTATTTCGCTGAGATCAAATACCCAACAAAATGTATAAAACTGGCTTATTAAACGGCATATGTGTAATAGGTAGTGTGAATTAAGATATTAACGCACCTAAATTATGACGAATTGTAGTAAACTGTATTTTTGTCCCAATCCCATTTTTGGTCAATTTTCACCCTTAGAGATCAGATATTTTATTCAATTTTTACACCAACATTTAGTACAACTAAGTCGAAACGAAAAATCAATATTCACATCGAAAAAAGTATTTATGCGAAACGCATAAGAAATAAAAACAAATATTTATTTAGTTTTTAATGATTCGACACATGTCGCCCTGATCTAAAATGATTGATGATAATAATTAATATTTAAACAAAAATTTCAATGGTAAATGAAAATGCATATAATTAAGCAACTTGAGATGGACTGTCCGTACATTGTTTTGCAATTTATGCATGTGAATGAATGTTTTATTGCATTATAAGATGCAACTTTCAAAGTGTTATCGTTTTATTTCGTCTATTGTTGTCTTGGCTACATGCAAATGTTACATGCAATAAATTATGACTGTCTTAATTTTTTGCAAAATTGCTCTGTTGTGACGCTCGATGATCATTGAAAATAAAACAAAAGTATCGGTTATTAAAATAATCACTTTTACGCAAATATAGCTAATTTAAAATTTCAGTTTTAATTTTAAATTTCATAAAATTTGTATCAATTAGTTATCTTATGTATTCTTTTAGTATTGTAGAGTACATTTCCATAATTATATACAAAAAATCTATATCTGTTTAAAAAAAAACATCTAAACTGGTTCTATTCGTAATAACCACAAAGATTTAGTTTGATACGTTTCATCTTTACGTTTAGGCTACAAGCAAAGTACTCGTAGTGTTTAATTTTCCTAAGGCAAATAATAATAATAGCAGTCAGTAACCATAAATTTAAATATTAAATTAGAAATGAAGTACAACTCAAAAGGCAGATTCACCAGTTTAAAAGGTCTACACTGGTAAAAGCGTGACTGTGGATTTTACTATCCAAAATGGAAAGTCGTGAAGCGATGCGGACAATTTCTCTAAATACTGTGGTATAATAATCACTGTTAACGGTTTTGATAATTCCTTAATAATAACGTTGGATATAAAAATGTTGACATCGTTTAACATAAACTGTGATATGTACACTAGTGAACTTAGTTTATAAACAGCTGTAAAAAAAAATGACAGTTATAGGCCCGTATTTTAAAAGGTATCTCAGTCGTGAATCTAGTATTAAAGCTAATTATAAGTAGAGATTTTATTATTGAACGTCACTTACAACGAGATTCACCGATCCATACTCAAGTAAGTGATAGCTTATTTTAGAATGATATTTATGTATCGATTTTGACAGGTGGGGTCTTTGTTTACGTGAGACAAGCTGAAACTAGTTTCAAGGGGTGATTTCTAGGTTATTCCAGAGGAAATGAATATGTTGTACAATGATTTGTTTCTAAATAATTACGAAAGATTTCCTTTACTTTATTTACAAAAGAATTACTTGTCATACTATAATCAATTCACTTTGATTTACCTTAATTGATATTAAATTCACTGAAACTCATATTTTACGCACACAATATTTTTTTAAATTAAAATCACTACAACCTTTTGTTTTATGTTAAAAGTATAATATTATTCTAGTAATATAAATTTAAGAAAAATAAAAACATTGTTTGACATTTAGACATGACAAGTGTTGATAAATAACTTGAACATTCCGTTATAGAATATATCTAGTCATTTTTATTTTAATATTAATTATATTTAATTTTGGACAAACAACAAGTTTGTTAATATGTTAATATTGCTACACTAGCCAAAAGTATGCTATACTATATACAAATTCACAAAAATTAAGTTTGTATTGTAAAAGAATACTATTTTTAAATAATTAGTTACGGAATATTAATGTCAATCATGCGGAAACGTAATTAAGAACAGACTTTAAGTTCAAATCAATACTTGAAATTAGTTTCAACTGAGTAAATCTTAAAACACGTTCTATAATAAGATCGATACTTAAGTTTTGATCTGCACTTAAAACTAGTTTCAGGCAATCAGAGTTTAAGCGATACTTGAGACGTCTTTTAAAATACGGGCCATAGTGTTAGTGACGATTAGGTACTTACTTTATTCTGCACCTAAAATTAAGTTAAGAAATTATACAGAACACAATTTTTCGACTTCAAACCACCGAATTCAGAAAGGATGCGGTTCTCAATTAGATTGAATATATTTTTTGTGTATAGTCACGCGATATGCTCGATAGTTTTTTAAAAAAGGTTAATTCTATGCCACAGACACAAATTAGTATAATAACCGCTCTAGAGAAAGCTGTCATATAGCCTATGGGTATTTGCAATACTCGAGATATCCCTAACGTTTCTAAAATATTACTTACAACTTTTCAAGTGAGATTAAAAAAGAAAACAAATTGTACTATACTAACTTTTAAACTTTCGCGTTCCATTATAATTAATATTATTTAACGGGAATTAACGCGATCTCTTATTTAGGGGAATTACATACCTCTGGTTTGCCTGACGTTTCGACCAGGTTGCACCGGCCGTGGTCATAGGCTGACTGGCTCATCGGCGCACGCCCTCCGTCGTCGAATCCGTGAAGTAGAAGGCTCTTCATCTACCCGCACATTTTCGATATTGTTTTTGTGTCGCCATGTACCGTCACATACCACAATAACAGTGTCCCTATTCTGTAAGAAAACCGATGAGTCCCTATTCTGGTGTTTAACCGATTGCGCAGAAAAGCGAGGTGGTATGATCTTCCCGATTGAAAGTTTTATGCTTTTTAATCTCAATCGCTTCACGTACAACTCTTGAGTAAAAGTGACGTTCGGTGGAGAGGACTTGCGTGCGGTGAAATTCAATCCAGTGGTATGGAATGCCTGCATCGAGTGCATGTTCTGCAATCGCTCATTTGCTCGTCTGTCGGTTCTTCACAGCAGCGATATGCTCTTTGACCCTTTCTGCAATAGTCCGCTTAGTTTGGCCTATGTATGAGCTCCCGCAGCTGCAGTCTATTTTATAAACACCCGGAGTTTGTAGTGGCAATATATCCTTCGGTGTGCCGACGATGTTGTGAACCTTTATGCCTGGTGTGTATACTGTCGGAATGGAATATTTCTTGAGCACAGACCCGATCTTGTCCGTAACTCCCTTGACATAAGGCATATAGGCCGGTTGCCTGTTCACTTCTGGATACTTGCGTCTTCTTTTCGGTTGCTTCCGTCCTCCTTTCACTTGATATCCGTTACCTTTGAGCACCTCCTGAACATGTTTTAGCTCCTGTTCTAAATGTTCAGGGTCACAGAGATCGTAAGCTCTGTTTTTGAGTGAAGTCATAACAGATTGCAAGTGCCGGGGGTGATGATGAGACGTGGCGTGTAGGTATCTGTCCGTATGAGTAGGTTTACGGTACACACAGTGTGACAAGGACCCATCCGATCTCACGGCTACTTTAACATCTAAGAAGGACAACGACCTGTCCGTCTCCATTTCATATGTAAACCTCATTTTGGGGTGAATAGAGTTAAGATGTTGTATATATTGATCCACTTCTTGTTTGTTTCCTTTGACGATACTGAAAATGTCATTGTACTATAATAAATTGTACTATATTGTACTATAATTAGACTGTTAATTTATATACTAGTTTAAAAATTATTTTTTTACTTTTCTTTTCTTTACAGAAAATAAGAAATGGCGACCTCGGGAGGAAAACGGCGAGAAGAAGGCAGTGATAATTCCGACGACGAACTCACACCGCTCGCTAACGAGATCTATGGTGGCAGGTAAGCGTGGATTTGCAAGTAATGAGTTCTCACATAGGTGTGTCAAATGTAGTAGAGGTGAATTCCACATAAAGTAAAAGTGAAAGGCTTATTCTTAGAACTATTTAGATTTTGGTATAGTACGAACTGGTTTTTGATTTGAAGTCGATCGAAAAATCCCACTTTGCACGAAATTATATTGAAAAACAATATTGAGTTACGTTTGAGTATTATAGGCATTGTTCCGGTTATCCATGACGTAATGCAATGTCATTACGTCATTGCAGAGAAGTAAGTATAATTTGGCGCTTTAAGGCAGGCACATAAGCAGCTTTGCTTATTTATAAAAAACTTCAAAAAGGTCTTTAGCTAGTTACTTTACATTTTTCCTTCATTACTTTTTATGTTAGTGTTTTGTTTCTGGGGTGTTTGTTGAACAACTGGTCTCTAATATATTTTATCATATTTTCTTTGTTCAGTATTGTTAGATTATAGTCGTTTTATAGCTGAATTAATAAATATATTTCAATCATACATACATACAGTTGATTATGATTTTAATGTCTATAAGTATAGTTATTGAGAAATATTTCACCAGGTTTATAAACTTAATCAGCAGTATTACAAAATTTATAGCAAAAGAACTAGATTTAAACAAGCATTTTACGATTTTTTATAACTCTATTGAATTAGGGTAGTACTATTTATTATCTACTTTATATGTATATCCAAGGCGCTTAGATAAAAATTTGTCTATATACAGAAAAAACTGATTGTGCTTATCATACAATTATTTGTTTTGAACAGGAATCGAAGCTACGACCCGTTACTACTGATCTGTAATAGTTATGTCAAAGTCAATAAAGCTTCTGAATACTTTGTGTCTTTATTCGTGTTTGCCCGGTAAACGGTACTAACGGTAATCCAGGTTACCGACCATATTACAAAAATGGTACAAAAAAGAAGTAGACACTTGAACGCCTAAGCGCCTATTAAAACTTTGATGCAGCAGGCGTATTTTTCGTTACTTTCACCTTTGTCAATTGTTTTATAACTGTATGACGTAAAATAGGAAACAATAATAGTTTTTATTAACCTCTAGCTGGCACATAAAATCATAGTTTATAACCCAGATATATTTAAAATTGCCTTTTAAAATTACTCAGTTATTGTGTGAACTAATTAATATGCGTTACAGACTATTTTGTAACAAATATTATAACTTCCCGCACGTTAGTATTTAACCTAAGCGCTATGTACCTGACATAGTAAATTAAATTCGTTAAATTTCCAAAGGAGCTCTTCTTTTGAGCAAAATTGATTTATCTGCGAAGTCAAATTTAGACAACTTTTAAATGTGGTTCCATGGGTGTGATCATATTTAAAGCTACACTAATTAAAATAACGCTGTTGGCAGAAACGTCTCACATGTCGGTTACTATTGCTCATTGTCACTGGGTATAAGCTTTTGTTACATAGAGGGCTGGGAATGCATTAAATTTAAAAACAACATGAAAGTGCTAGTGTTTAATACTGATCTATTTGAAATTGCCATCTATCAGGACATGACTACTTCTGGCGGTTACGAAGCTGGTATCTTATTAGCAAAGATTTCAAAAGGCTAATAAGATCATAGAATACCACTGTGCAAGATTCCAAGAAGAGGGTTCACCATAGGGCCGTATCATTGTCGGGTGTTTTATTCAACATTCTAGTTTTATTTTGTGGTGGTAAATCCACAGAACATTTAAGAGATTAGTGCGAACCGTTAAAAGTTCAAGTATGATGCATCTCATATTGCGATTGTAGTCATATGCCATTTTAAAATGACAAGGTTACAATCAAATAAATACATTTATAATGAAAAACATTACCAAACGTCTTATTGTATACATTACATTTTTTATCAGTCCACCGTGAATGCGTGTTATGAAAGAAAATCGTTAGATTTAAAAATCGTCATTAATGTAAAGTACTCGTAAAATGTATTTTAGTTAGTTAGTGGTAACTAGATAAATAGTATTATTATCAATTAAATATAAATCGCAATAATTATTGAGATCTTTAGTACTTAGCGATGTCCTTGAATCATTACGTCATCATTTTCTTATCTTGAATCATTATTTTCCCATCATTAAGTCTCATTAATGCAATAAAGTGATTCACTTTACAAATAACTTTTGAAATATTCATTCAAATAATTCTCCTACCAAGGTGTATAAAGGCCGGCTAATGTTTAATTGTGTGAATACAAACTTAAAAATTTATGTATTATAGCTTTGTTTATTAAGTTTACACAATAATTATCTTTAAAGGAGGATACTTGTTGAAAATAGATTCAGATTCTAGAAATATTCTGGTTGTTCTGGTTCGATTCCCACTAGGGACAAAAATTGTGTGATGAGCACAATAATTTGTTCGGTCTCTGGGTGTAATTTACCTGTAATATGTATATTTATCAGAAGTCTAATAACTATAGTACAGGTTTGGCCTAGTTTGGGATCAGACTGCTGTGTGTGAAAAATAGATAGATAGATGGGTCCTTCATTTACACTTAGATGGGTACTTTATTGCACACCATGGATATAAAACATACAATGCAGAATATAAACATAAAATAAAAAAAACAGTGGTACAATGGGCGGCCTTATCGCAGTCTGCGATCTCTTACAGGCAACCTTTGGATGGACTATACTATGTATAGTAATATGTAGTTTGTGGTACATTTATACAAATTCATACGAGTATTCATACACATACACACATTCATATAAATATACATACAAAAATAGTACTGAAACTAAATTATGTGCTAAATGTTCCGGTACTATTTTTAAAAACATTAAATACATAAAATATATTTTCAACCTGTTACTGAATTAAGAATTTTTATTTAATCTACTTTCGAGATTTTATCGAAACCTACTTTATTAGTTTTTTTCTAAATCAATTGTGTAATGTTTGGTTAGGGATATGAGATGAATAAATTGTTAAATCAGTTAGTTTCAGACTTAAATACTGGTCAGTATTACAATTTCATTACATTCAAAACTATTTTGCCATACTTTAACCCCTGTTATTGCTAACTTGATTAGATTTTATTTGGGCGCTGGCATTACTTAAATGAAAATAATTTATGGTCTGAATAAGAATGTAATAACATACAAAATATACAATAAAAATTAATAGTAACATGAATATAAGAGAACATCCAGTCAAATAATATAACATTGACCACGTGAATATTTCCAATTAATTTTAAAATATTCTTAGCTTAGCTCAAGATAGAAGCAACATCTAAAAGAGTATTGTTTCGTATTAAGCTTTATTTAGCCAGAGGTCGAGTCACGTCGATCGGTCACCGCGGCCCGGAACCCGTTCAAATGCCAAGGTTGACAACTCTGACGACACAACTTTCAATCAATCGCTGACCGCGCCACATTTTTGCGCCCCACTTTGCTCTCGGAAGCCTCTACCTATTAGCGATAATACTCAGTTACATGCAATGCATTGTGGTCTGATCTTTGTTAATGATAAAATGAGTCTTTCCATATTTGGCGAAAAGTAAAAGCAAAACGAGATGAACTAGTTTGTATCCTGAATGACACTCAATGTCGTATACGTAGACACTCTTTGTATATTCTCGCCTACATATTTCTTTAAACAAAGGAATAAGTTGAAAAGTATTTTATTTTGTTTTTTAAAATAAATATATAGCTATAACAAGTATTGAGTTTTTGCTCATAATCTTTAAAAGTATTTTAAAGTGATATAGAACATAGAGTTATTTTCTATATGTTATTATAGACAATGAATCAATATATATTTATTTTGTTACACAGGGTTACTTTTAAATTCTGATCAAAATATTGTTTAACGAACAGAATAGCAGTGTCACAAATAAGATTTTGATCAAATTTGAGACTTATATTAAATGTTCGATGATTAAATCAAAGTGTCAGTGTGAAATTTGCAATCCGATTAGTTTTTAGGTCTTCGACTATGAAATTGGAGATTTGTATGAAAAGTTGAAAATATTTTTTCTTTATTATTTTAGCTAGCTTTTAAAGTATTGGCCCAAATTATCTATACAATTTTGCCATTTTGATGTCAGTTTGTATATTCCTTTACTGTAGAAGCTGCTGGACAGAAGGCGATCAAGTTAGCGATAGCGTTTGGTACGGCCTCTCGGGTGTTGAATTTCTTTTCAAGTAAAAAATTGACCAAATTTTGAAAAAAGTAGAAATAGTTCGACTGCACGGATAGCGTAGTTGTTTAAGCGGTCGCGACGCCGCTTTCTACTACGCCGAGTGTTGTGGGTTCAAACCCCACATGGGACGACACTTTGCGTGATCAACAAATTGTTGTTCTGAGTCTGGGTGTTCTTTGTGTCCGTTTCATGTATGCTTGTAAAGCCCCCCGCGACACAGGATATATTCCTAATACGGGCGTTGTCTTTAATAAAAAAAGAAAAAATAAACAAAAAAAGTTGGGTCAAGGTCCGGTGAGTACGGTGGGTGACGGAGAGCTTCCAGCTGTAACTCTTGTAGCTTTGCGATGGTCTGTCGCGAAGTGTGAGCTCACGCGTTGTCGTTGAGAGTCTGTACTCGGGTCCACCCACTGACACGAACGCTTACGGTTGACGTACATGATCCATTTTTCATCGCAGGTAACAATTCGATGCAGAATTCTCGCGTTTCTGTGCCGATTAGTAGCTATTCATGCTTCAACGCGTTTTGTTGATGGTCGCTTAGTTCGTGTGGCACCCACTTATCTAGCTTTATTATCTTTCCGATTTGACTCAAGTGCATCAATGTTATTTCGACACTAATTCCAAAGTCCGTAGCAAGCTCAGCCGTAGATTAAGTTGGATACGCTTCCACTATCGCCTTCAATTCGTCGTTGGCGACTTTAGTTACCGGTAGACCGCGAAACTCGTTCTTTAACTCTCAAAATTTCCAGATCTAAAACGATCTAAACCAATAATGAACCGTGTTCATGCAAGCAGTGTTAGGCAGTGT